AAAAACAAAATTACATTGTGTGCAAATAAAACTGTTGCATACAACAGTACATACAATTTCAAGTTAATTTATTCACGTGATTGTGTATGGCCTTGGAAGATTGACATAGTTTGGGTGAAATTTGCCATTCATTCAGGTTAAAAAACACTCAGTACAAAATATTATATTTAACCTATTGTGGTAGGTTTTCTGGTCTTTTTGGCAGAGATTATGGCCTGCATCATTTCATACCAGTATCCCATGTGAACAAGCTTTATTTCTACTAGAATCTACGGCATTTTTGAGCAAACCGGGGATATTCTGTTGCTGTATAAAAAGGTATGAAGTTTGGTGAGCTTATAGTGGGCAAGAACACATCCTCATCTTGGCAAAGGAAAATGAGTAAAGGGTTCCTGCAAATCAAGTCCTGAAATACTGTTTACATGTGTTTCCTTACGTCACACGACATGAAAGATAATCTAAAAGAAAGTTTGATTATAATTGCATGGCCTTTGTGTCCTTTGAAATAAATTGGTTTAATTACTTCCTTATTTTATGATTTTAAGTAGTATCAGCTGTATGTGGGTATGCTTAAGCATTTAAGACATATATTCAGGGAGGACGTCCAGGTTTTGCTACTGAAGGGTCCCTACTGAAACACATTCCCACAGCTTCATATATATTGAACACCCTTCAGAGCCATTCGATGCGTACAATTCCCAGAATTGTACAAGATAAGGGATAACCTCACTTTTTAGCTTCAGAAATACCCTGCCATGGTGTTTCAGCATAATTCTTGAAGTGCCTCCTCCTATGTTTCAGGCAGTATAGAAGGAATATATGTTGAGATGTGGTTCTGAGATGCCTCAACTGCTTTGTAAGGAAAGCATTTAGAAGAGTCCTGACCTTCCTAATTCCCAGGGATAGACCATTGTTCCTCCATTGTTCCTCTGGATGCCTCCAAAGTGTAGTGTGCGCTATGACTATCACCGAGCTTGGAATTTCGAAGAAGGAAGGATGGAAGCTCAGCTTTTTGGTGTTGTACTTGCATAGTTCAGTTGCATTTTTCCCCTTCACTTCTCAACTTGTCATGCTTTCTAGGAGGGGATGGGCAAAGATACTGTGACAGGTGAATTTGGGGGCCTCTGCTAATGGATTTCGAAGTAGTGAGTCCCATCCCACATGAATACACATAATGAGTGTAACCTGAAAGTCTCTGTGTTCTTTCAAAGCTATGTCATTGTTTCAGTCAGGCGTAATTTCTTCCCCTTTCTTTTACATTAAGAAACCTTATTGTCTTCCCATTTGCAAATGGATCATCTCAGTTGTCAATAATACAGGGTTAGTCAAAATGAATAGGCCAATAAGAAAATTAATTTTAGACGAATGTATGTTTACTGTAACCAAACCACAGCTACGTAGCGACAGATAAATTATCAAAGTTTTGTCTCACCTTCAGAGATGTTCGATATGGGCGCCCCGTGTGACACGGCAGATGTCCAAGCGATAGTCCAGTTCATTCCACATCCGTTGCAGCACATCCGACGTACACGAATGGATTCCACTGTGTCTTCGGAGACACGTGGTCGTCCTGTGGTTTTACCCTTGCATAAGCAGCCCGTCTCCTCAAATTGCTTTACCCACCTCGCAATGGAATGTCGATGAGGTGGTTCCTTGCCATACTTGGCTCGAAATTCTCGCTGGACCGTAATTACTGACATTGTTTTAGCAAATGTCATCACACAAAACGCCTTCTCTTTGCTTGAATCCGCCATTTTGAAAACAGCGACCCCTAGCGACGCCTAACGGCATTAACGTACATGTGTGTTGCTCAAAAAAAACTTTGATAGTTTATCTGTCGCTACGTAGCTGTGGTTTGGTTACAGTAAACATACATTCGTCTAAAATTAATTTTCTTATTGGCCTATTCATTTTGACTAACCCTGTATTACATTTATTGTGGGTTGAGTATGGTTTACTAGATATGATGTAGGAGAAAAGTGGTTTTGAAACTTCAGTTCTTGGGTCACTCAGTAATATAAGAACATGGCTTTCTGCAATATTTCAGGTAGTTATTTACATGGGTCAATTTAGTATCCTAACATCGTGAACAAAGCAGTTGCTTGGAAGCATTGGATTTTAGTTTGAGTAAATAACTTTGCTTAGGATAGCTGCCTAAGCCTTTGCTGAGCAGTGTATGATTTGATTATAAGTATGCTGGCAGGTAAAGTTTTAAAGCTTTTCACTAACTTGAACTCTTGTGACTTTTCTAAAACGTTATCCCAGATTTCCTATCACAGTTGTTTCGACAAACATGTCAAAGGAAGCACAACGGGGTATGTTTAGTATATGAATATAATGAATTCATTTTTAATAAAATATCAGTTTGAGATCCAGGGAAACAGATTTTTTTTAAAAAGCTGCTCAAGTTACAGTCTTCTCAAAATGCACATTATAGTCCACATGTGACTTAATTCCATTGTTGATAGCTCCCATAGAGTTTTTCTGTGAATCCATATAAAGGGTTAGGCCAGTTTGTTTTACAAGAGTCCAACATAGCCTCTCAGTGAGTAAAAAAAAATGTACAGCATAATATAATTTGTATTATAACTTTTATTTTTATTTTTATATGAAATAATTAAATGATCTATTTTTAAATGGTGGTTGGATTGTACAGTTATTTTGGGGGAAAAATCAATAAAATAAAAAAAAACCAACTGACTGTTTTATATATTACTGTTGTGAAGTATCTAAAGAAAAGGGGCAGGCAAAGTGAACACGGGAATGCAAACACCAAATAGAAGATTTTCCAGTGGGGACCATTTTCAGTATTGCTGCAATGCTAGAAATTTGAGGGGCAAAGCAAAATTAATTCATTTTGCCACCCAAAAACTACACTCTTGAGTGGATATACACCCCTAAACACATATTGAATGCTAACAGACTCAGTTCTATTCTACCCTGTGCTGAATTTCTATGGTTCACAATGTTATGCATTCTGATTTTGTATCCCTAGTCAACATGGCACTTCTACTTTCCTGATTTTAATCAATGCTATGAAGATGATAAAATATTTACGATCTCCATACTTTCTTTTTTGCAGTACACATTTAAAACCAATTCAAGCTGTGACAAAGTTCATGAACAAAGCAAAACAAGAACACACTGGAAATAATTTAAATAACCAAGTTTAAAATGTGTTTTAAAAGCCAAGATGGAATGAGTACCATTTGTAATTCTGGGGGGAATAAATTCCACAATTTAAGATTTATGCAGAAGGAAACCCTTCCCTGCGTGCCTCTGGATAGAAGTATCTGTGTGGATTTATTACTACATTTTAATTTAATGGCTTTATAGTACATGTTGCCATATAAAAACATCAGAGTTATTGCACTTGGAACCACCTTGTAACCATAGTTCTTTGGACAAAGTACAAAAGAATATGAGACAAATCATAAAACCAAGCTAAAATCAGCAACAGAGTAAAGAATTGGGAGATGGAGTAGGGGAGGACCAAAATGGAATGAAGTTCAACAGAGATCAATATGAAGTTTGACAAGATGATAGTCTTTTTAAAATATGCAAAAAGTTTCTTAGTGCATCACAAGTGTATGTTGGCATTGAATTTTTGCCATTAGTATGTTATAAACTGCCTCGAGACCTCCCAGGGGTGAGGTATCTAAATAATATTATTATTATTATTATTATTATTATTATTATTATTATTATAACAAACCTTTATTTGTACCCCGCTAACATCTCCCAAAGAGCTCGGTGCGGCTTACAAGAGGCCCAACACAACAAAAACAACAACATCACAAATACAACAAAATAACTCATAAAACAGCAATAAACATTAAAACAATAGCCAATAACATT